AAGAGAAGCCTCTGGACTGTTTGGGCAGCTGAGTGATGTCCCCACAGGATGAGAGCTGGCCTGAGGCCACCTGCAGCTCAGGCGGAAGGAGAGAGAGTTCCGCCCCACACGCCCCAGCCCTCAGAGCCGCCCCAAACTCTGTCCTCTCTTGTCCACTCCTGGGTCCTGTCCGCTCTGTGGCCAGCGCGGGAACACGCGTGTGCATGAGGCGCATTTGCTGAGTGGACCACGCAGCGGCTGGCGCAGAGGAGCAGCGGGGGAGGGGGCGAGGGCTGGACGTGCCCGGACGTCCACTTCTACTCAGTGAGGCAACACGCCCGGGCGCGGCCAGGACAAGGGCCACTCGGGCCGGAGAGGGCCGGACACTTCAGGAAAGGACGCGGGTCGGCTCGCTGAGCAAAGGCCAGGCGACCACAGCCTGGGGACTGTGGGCACGAGGCGACCGGGGGTCGGGGCGGAGGTGCTGTGGGCTCGGCCGGAGCCCAGGGAGGCAGGAATGGGCAGCGGTGAGGAGGGGTCAGGCGGTCGGGTCAAGGACCGTCCTCTGCCCACTGGGCCCCGTACTCACTCAGGACGCCCTCGCGTCCCCATGCTCTGCCCACCGACCCTGTGGTCACTCTCAGGACGCCCTCGTGTCCCCATGCTCTGCCCACTGGGCCCACGGCTATGGTCCGGGCGTCCCGACGTCCCGTGAGGGTCTGGTCCTCACAGGCGGGGCCCTGCGGCCCCCTTCCTGCTGGCCAGCGCTGGCCCTGCGCTGGGGTCCTGTCTGGACTTGGCCGCAGCTCGCTGCCGCTCGGGGCGGGGACGGGGCGGTCCCGGAGGCGGTGTCTCCCGGAGGGCGTGGGTGGCCGGGCGTCCAATCGCGGCCCAGAGCGCTCGGGGCGGCGCGTCGGGAACAGGGAAGGGGACGCGGCGCGGCCGCTGCAGGAAACCGTGAGGGAGTCGGCGGCGGCGAGGTGAGTTGTCCCGGCTGCGGGCTCGGGGTGCCCGGGGGACCAGCCGGGGGGCGTGGCCGCT